TAATTGTTCGTTTGTTTGTTTGCTCTGTTTTTCTTCCTTTTTTTCGGCGTTTGTTGACAAAGTTTTTCGCCAAGCACGTGGTTAACACCAAGCACAAGTTATCCGACAATCCGCGTCGTGCCGGCAAACGGGAAATGGGAAAATGCAGAGGGGGAAACGGAAAAGAGGAAAGGGGGAATGGGAATAGCTGACAAAATTATAGTAATTAGCGTCTGGCTGGACCGTTGACCGGCGCGAAGTGCTGCAAATATGTTTATAATTGTGATTTACGGGCTTGAGGTAAACTAATCGAATGAGCTCCTCCATGAAACTATAAACTCAATTCTAATTATCGATAGAACTGGCTAATCTATGACTGGGAAATGGGGAATTCCATTAGCAGAGTGCAGCATTATGTGAAATGTGAAATGGACTTAAAGTGCTTCCACTAAGTGAAGAGGATGTACATACCTCTAACGGTGTTGATAGAGATATGTATATATGTAAATATTGACAGAGTTATGCATATAGATATCGATTGATATAGTCATGCATATCGACAGACAAGAATAAATCACGATATGAAGAGATAAAAAGGTGTACAAACTGCGTTAGATAACCATACATTCAGAGAGAGAGAGAGACTAATTAAAGCACTTTCTTAACTCTGACTTTGTCTTCTTTCGTTTCCCCTTATAATCACTACTGTCCCTTTTTCTTTTACCTTTTTTCTTCTTTCTCTCACTCTCTCTCGTTATCATCTCGTTCCTCTCCTAGTTAAAAACAAAATAATGAAATGGGAAAAGTATTTAGAAATTTAATATTGTATAAACAACAAACGATTTCAAGCTTTCATCTGAGGGAGACTGATATAGAAAGAGTCTGAGTGCGTCATTTAGGGGAAGGGGGAGACTCCGGGAGTAAGAGAAAGTGCTTATTGGCAAAGCAGAACCGCAGGCACAGAAGCAACGGAATATTCATTAATGACAAGTTGCTGATGTGGAAACTGGATAATGCAGATGAGGATGAGGCTGACTAAGGCGATTTAAATGAGAATTGAAATATGGGAAGCTGCAGACGGTACGGGTGAGTGCATTTCAAGCAAAATAATAGAAATGGAATGAAATAAATAAAACATAAAATGAATTTTATAAAAATCTTAACAATATACAATATGAAAGAATAATTAAAGTTAGTAACTTTAGTAACCCCCATAAAGGTGCCACCTTTTAGATATAAGTCTTAATCCTTTTCTGCACATTGCCAATTTGGCGGACAAATGGCAAAAGGCAAAGCGCAAGGAGCAAAGAGCAAAAGGCAAACAAAAAATGCGGAGAACGTATTTCTCATGCGGCAATGTCAAAGTTTTTGCTGCAGCAGCGAACTGGTTGCCTCTAAGTGGCAGCATCTTATATTTTCTTTGCATTTCTTTATTTGCTTAAACATGGAAATAAATAAAAAAAAAAAAGAAAAAGAAATAGCAGGCGACAACAATTGCAGAAGTTACGTTTCGCGTTTGGCGAATTGAAAAATTTGCGCCAAAAAATGAGAAAATGCAAAGTTTGAGATAAAAACAGAAGAAATCTAGAAGAAATTTTACAAGTTGGCGTCAACTGCGCTTGCCAAAATGTTTATTGTCAAAAAGTTGCAACAAAAGTTGTTCTCTCTCATTTTTGAATTTATTTTGGATTTTTCTTTTCTTTTTTTTTTTTTGCGCTCACTTAGCCTAGTTAAAAGAAGCGCATTTATGTAAATGGCCAAGAATGTTTATGTAAATGCGTCCAGCTAAGTGAGAAAACACACTGCGAACGTTGTAATTTAAGCTCTGACATTTTGTTGACGCGCAAAGTTTTTCCATTTGCGGCAATTAACGTGTCATTTGCATATTAAATGAGTTGCTCAACATTTGCATAAGCTGGCGAAATTTCAAATTATAACCGAAAACTCCACAAGGTAAGCAGTGCAGACAAGGGAAACTTGGCTAGATGAACTGCTTGTTACGAAAAGCAGTGTTAGCCAGCGTCAGTATAAGGTTGGAGACTTAGCTAAGCGGTGTAGGTGATGCCGCGACTAGCACGGTTAGAAGCTTAGCTAAACCAGTATTTGTAAATACTATTAAATAATAAAATTATCAAATACGCATGTTATTATATTGTAAAAGTAATATTGAATAATGATTTTTACATCTTTGCCGCCATCACTATTGAGAGTGCTAATTAGTCTTTCGATGTCTAATTACTTAATTAGTCACATTTTTGTTTCATCTAAGTATGAGGATCGAGACTTAGCTAAGCCATATAATATAAGTAAATTATGTGAGATAATATAGGTAAATATATGTATATGTATACATATGTGTATAAATATATGTATGTTATTCTATTAAGTGCTCTCTGCGATTCTCAGGAGTTAAGGTCTTGAATTGTAATTCTAATTGGAATGGTAGTGTTAAAGACTATACTCTATATTCGTACTCCAGTCCGACTCTCACTAGTACCTATGGCCTCTCTACATATATACACACATACATCTCACCCGTAGCAATTACTTTCGATAGCACAACGCTAGATGACAAGTTTGAAACGCTGCCCTTTGGTGTTTCTATACTTGTTGATCAAAAAAACAAAAGCTAATTGGCCAAAACGAGAGGCAAGAGACGGACAGAGACGAGTTTATTGACTCGATGGGAAACCGAGTTGAAACATAATTGAATGAACATATCAAATTTCAATCAGAGCTAAATCTTATTAAGAGCAAAGCAAAATAAAAATTTAAAAAATAGCGAAAATGAAGAATAGCAAAAGCAAAAACAACAACAACAACAATAGCGACAATCAAACGCCCCGCAGCTAATCAGGCTCTAATGGCGATAAATATTTCATTCCATATATTTTGGCAGATCGCACGAGCAGCGCCCGCCATGTCACGCCCACTTCGCCTGGGTGAAGCATCTTCGCCAGACAAAGCCAAAACGCAGCAGCAGCGCATGCCAGACAAAATCTGCGATGCGATCGACAATCGTGAAGCCAGAGACTAAGCGACGATGCTGATCGGAGGCAGGGGCGAGGCGGAGGCAGACACAGAGCAGGGGCAGGACCACAGCCAGTTGGTCAGCTCAAGGCGTTGCCTCTAACCTGCTCCCCCAACCCTGCCCTACCTGGTTGACCCTACCTTTTGCCATTTTTGTGTTATGAATCGTTCAGTTCTTAAGCAGATGAACGAGGCGAACTTGGGCGGGTGCAACGACACAGAAGCGAGGAGGGGACGAGCGGTAGGAGAGGCGGAAGGTGAAGAGCAGTGTGTGGAGAATGCTCAATATGAAAATGCGGGAGGGGAGATGGGGTAGAGAATGATAAAATTGAAATGGAGACTGAGGGGAATGTAAGGGCACAAGACAAAGCCGAAGATGAGGCAAGGGTTGAGACTGTGGGTGAGCATGAGTCTGGAGCTGAAGAACGATACGAGGAGGAGGAAGAGGAGGAGGAGTAGGATATGTCTGGACATGAGCATGCTGCCCGCCTGCCATTATGAGTAATGGGAGTAATGCCTGGGCATTTGTTTACTTGCGGCGCTACATCGAAGGCAGCTGCGCAGCGAAGCTCAGCTCAGCTCAACGCATTGCGGAGTGCTCTATGGGTGTTTTTAAAGGGCTGGGCAAATACACTCCATGACCAAGCTGACAGAGAGAGAGAGAGGGGCGAGAGAAAGAGAGAGAGGCAGAGAGCGAAAGTGTAGATCAAGAGGGGGCGAGAGAAAGAGAGAGAGGTAGAGAGCGAAAGTGTAGATCAAGAGTGAGGAAGATGCAGATGAGAGGTTTACTCTGAGTTCTTTGGGTTAGTCCAATAATCTGTGTTACGTATGTGTTTTACAGCATCATCATGAATATAATTATTGCAATTATCATTATTCCTATTATCGCCAAGAGATGATAGTTGTCTGTCGAGTCTTTGATTTGTTTAAGTGTTTCCGATTATTATAATACCAACTAAAATAGTTGAATTAGAAGACAACACAATATATATAATATAGAGATTATATATGGAGTACTTGGATATACATATAATTATAAGCTGATCAAAGAGGTGTACTTGATTCTGCTTCAGTTGCCATTAAATTGTCTTTTCATAAAAACAGACTTATATTATGCAGAATATTTCATTTGCATTTGTCTCAATTTAGTTTTATAGTTCATAGTTTTAATTCTGTAATTCTAATGCGTATTACACTATTTTTAATATATATTTTAATAGAATCTGTAAGGGAGTACGGAAACGCATTCAAAACACATATTTGATTAGCACAAACAGATCTTAAAGCAAGCATTTCCCGTATATAAATATTTACATTTTAATTTCCACAACAGCGGAAAATTCAGTTATTAAGAAATTAGTTGGGATGAGAGCTTTATTAGACAAATGACATTTGATAGCATCATGATCATTAGCTTTAATTGTGGCCTCAGATTAGGCCAAGACAAGCAGCTGAAAGCTGAACTCTTAGCAATGACAACGCGAACTCCCACAACAGTCAACAAAAGCAATGCTCTTAGCCAAGAGAGTGGCTCAGACACGCTCTCTCTTTCTCTCTCTTTCCCTCTCTGTCTACCTCTCTTTGGGATCTCTTTCCAAACAAGAATCTTTGGCTGTGAGAAGAATTTCGTTTAGCTGCAACTTTCTTTCGAGAGGGGGCAAAAGGCTTTTCTTAAAAGCGACGCGACGTCGCGATGGGGCCTTCAGTCAGTGGCCAACACGCGACGCGTTCAGAACGAACAACAGCAACAGCAGCAGCAAAGCAGAGCAACGCAAGAAAATAGAAGTGGAAGAAAAATACTTGACGTTGTGAAAAGGATGAGAGCAAGATAGACATAGAGTGTGTGAGTGAGAGAAAGAAAGAAAACAAAAAGAGAGAGAGAAGTGAAGTGCAGACAGACTTCGATTTTTGTTATTGTTCGAGCGGTGCAAAAACAAAAACACAAAACAAACAAAACACAACAAGTGGATAAACAATTGCAACAACAACGACAAGCAGAAGAAGAAGAACAACAGCAACAACAATTGAGCAACTCTTTCATAGGTATGTGAACTTTGAGTAGGCAAAGACCTGGCTCATTAGCATGTGGCTTGAACAAAGAATGCGAAGAAAAATTCTGAGCTGCGGTTTAAGTTTTCTTTGCTTTTCCCCTGCTTCGTCTTCTTCAATGGTTTTTTTTTTTTTTCGTTTTTTTGGCATGCAAAATTGTGGAAATTTAATAAGAGTTTTCCGTGTATTTTCTTTCCAAGCCGCTGCAACATCGCTCGCATTTCAGCTAACAGTTTTTTTGTGTTCTGTTGCCAACTCTGTGCGTTGCAGCAGCCAGAGAAAACCCATTCTGGGTGGTAGAATGGGGAAAAGGGAAGGGGGGAATGCGCGTGGTTTTTGCTGTCTAAAATATGCAGTCATTCGGTTCGCTTGGCTTTGCGGCACTTTTCGCTAAGCAAAAAAAAAAATAATAATAATAAAAAAAAGAAGCAGCAGAAGGAGAAGGAGAAGAAATTCCGCTGGGCGCAAAAATGTGTTTGTGCTTGTGTTTGTGGCGTGTGTTAACGGTATTGTTTACAATGTTAACAGAAGTGCCAAGAGATGTGTAGAAGAAGCAGCAGCCGGCCTGCCATTCCGGGTGGCAGCTTAAATAAATAATTGAGACGCACAGCGACAGCCAAAACGTTGCGCCTCGCTGCACTCACACACACACTCAGGCACTCGCACAGACACACTCACACACACAATGAGGTGGAACTAAAGTCGATGCAGAGGCTAGCAAAACAAATGACTTAGGCAACGAACTTGGACTTGGCGGCGTCTCAAGTGAATAATAGCCAGAGCAAATAGTGCAGACTCAGTCGAGCCAGCAGAGTCGAAGTGGAGTGAGGCATGCTCGTAGGAGTTCTCAGGAGCTGTAAAAAGATGTTTGGGTTGAATTGTTTGTACTCCTTTTAATTGCTTGATATAAAAGATGAATGATGAGTTACTTAGTGCTTAGCCAATGATTACTTAAGAGAGCCTAAGCAAGTTGCTGAAATATTAAGATTGTCTATAAAGTAGAGCTACAGTTATTCAATTAGTCAGTCAGCATTTAACATATTAACTAGAATATTATCTTCTATCAGCTATAATACGAAAAGAATAAGATATAGATGTGTTGTGGGCTATGCCTAAGAAGAGTGAGGATCAAAGAAATGTTCGATTTCATGCTGTTAGATCAGCAGCTAAGTATTGCGGAAGGATAAGCAATAACATTAACTGTTTACCTATTCCATAGACATTTATCTATAAAAACAATATTCGATTTAGATAATAATTTTCTATAAAAGACAGTTCAGCTTAGCAAAGCTCAGTCCTTATTCGATCTTACATTCAACTTATACCATCATATTTGATGATATATATATTACTTTAAAGCCGGCACCGACTACGAATACTCATATTCTACACTGAATTTTGTTTGCTATCCTCAAAGACTTTTGCAGATAGAAGGAATGAGAGAATACAAATACTTTATTAAGTATTTATATTTATATTCTGTTATATTAAGATATATACACTACAGAGATACTAACATAGTATATATATAGTAGCATTTCTCATTTCTTTTCGCATTTCGAATCCCAAATAGAATAGCTTAATTCATCAAATCTGTCATTTGTTTGCCTTTGCTTCTGCTCAAAACATAATTTCGAGCGCAAGCCAATAATTTCCTCTGTTGATTCGTGCTGAAGCCACGCGAATGGCCACAAATTAAATAATAAGCCAGGCAATTAAATAACCCTCCAACGGCTTCCACAACAACAACAACAACAACAGCAAAAACTAACTGAAGAAAAAAGGTCATAAGAAATTGTGTATTTATTAGAGAGAGAGAAATGCAAAGCAGATGAGCTGAAAGTCAGTCGCCCTCTCTCCCTCTCTCTTGCACTGTGCACTCTCTCCCTCTCTCTCCCTCTCTCTGTGATGCTAATGATGTAAACTAAGCATTTAACTGTTAACAGTGCCGACAGCGCCAGCAGAAGTTCACAGTGGGCCACAGAAGATGCGCGGCAAAAGCGACGACAAAAGTTGAGGTCGCCAGGGAAGCCCCCTCTCCCGTTTCTGCTCCCTCCCCCTCTCTCTTTCTCTGCCAGCACTGCGTAAAGTCAAAGCCAAGTTCGAGTTGGTCTCCAAGACCAAATCAAAGCCGTTAGCTGGGAGACAGAATGCGGCTAAAAACGCACTCGGCGCTCGACTTGAAAGACGTCAACTGAAAAGGCAATGGCGGGGGGAAGCCAAACAAAAGGGTTTCACACACGCACACACACACAGAGAGTGGAGTGTGCGTGGAGGAGCTTGTGAAAATGTAGGTTGCATTGGCAATGAGTGAAAATGTTCACGGTAATCTTTACAGAAATTACCGTTTCATTCTCGTTGTTGTTGCTATTGCTGTTGTTGACACAGCAGCAACCAGTTGTTGCTGCTGCTGTTGCTGTTGTTGTTGCTGTGATTACAGCTGGCTTTTAATGATCATCATTAGATGGTTGGCGCGCACTTAAAGGGTTCTTATTTTTATGGCCATTGCTTAAAGAGGAAGAAGAAGAGGGAGAATCTACAGCAACAACAGCTAACGTGACAACATGCAATACACAACAGCAACAGCAGCAGCAACGGCAATAGCAAGAACCGCTTCAATAATATTTGATAATGCAAAGCGGAAGCTATAAAAATCCCAATGCGAACGACATTTGTGTTAGTTAGTTAGTTGCTCGGCTTAGTTAGTTAGTTAGTTAGTCAGTCCGATCGTTACATTAGAGCGAAGAAATTTGCTAATTGCCTGCAATTGGCGAGAGGAACTGGGCATAGAGCAGGAGGCAAGGGGGGCAGGGGCGGCGGGCAGGAAGCAGCATCATTAAATTAATGGAAGGCACACCAGAAGATGTACACTGGCAGAAAAACCAAGCAAGTGCTCCAAATGCTGCTCAGTAAGCGATAGCAGAAGAAGCATATACATAAATAGATAATGCGAATTATTTTTGATTCTCTATTAGTAAGTAGGAATGTACATGACGAAATTCGAGCAAATCGACCTTAGATCATTCTTGCCTCACAGTCAGCATTTCTTCAAGTGTAGCCAAATCTCTTTGAGCTTGAGTGCACCACGATAACACGAGTCGCTCAGGGGCGTGGCGCAACGAATACACTACCTCAAGGTCAACTGGCAGCCGAATGGGCGCAGCTCCTTTTTGGCAGCTCGAGCTCCATTCGAGCTGCATCTGATATGCCCGAAACACAAAGGCGCACCGAAACCCGAACAGCCGATATAGATAGAAGACCCGCACGTAATCTGATATTCCGAAACGAAAAAAAACGAAGAACGAAAAACGAGAAACGAGAAAAGAAAAACAAAACACAAGAAAAAGAAAATAAAACTATAAACAAGAGAAGACTTAGTTTGCCATATGAGGCGAGGGTTTTTGTTTGGTCTTCAGTTCTGTTGTTGTTGTTGTTGTTATTTTTTTAGCTATCAAAACAGCATCAGCAACACACACACACACAAACACATACATAGAGAGAGGCAACTGGCCAAGACTCGACTTGGCAGCTGGCCAAGTGGTAGACAGTGGAGCGGCGGGCGGGAGGCGTGGCATGCATGCATGCCTGCAGTTCCAGGCGAGTGCACAGCAAAAAAGCAGACACTGTGCCGTAACAGTGAGCGCAAGAGATGACAACCAGGTGCATGCAACATCCCAGATATAAATCAAGAGCTCTTCGAGCCGCCGTGCACCAGAAGCAGCTCAGCTGAGTTTTGGATGCAGTAACTACGATAGAGAAATTCTTCAGAATTCTCTAATGATATTCCAATAAAGTCATACAGGCAGACTACATTAATTCGGTTTAGATTGTGATGTCATAGAAAATAGTTGAGGGTAATTAAAACGAAAGATGTACGGGCTGCTCTTATAGATAGTTGCTCTACTTATATAATATAAAACAGATATAAAATAAATATATGATGTAGAAAAGAAATACGGATTTTAAGTAGGATTATAATTGATAAGAAGCTAACTGCCTACGATAAAAGAATTTAGCCAGAAATGATCTATGAAATTTTAAAACAGACTCCAGTGAAGATCGTGGGATATGAATTCTACCTAAGCCTTATGAAATAGTATACGAATACTGAGGAGGAGGATAAGAACCTTTTGCATAACAAATATATCATTAAATTGTGTTAAACCACAACTTTTTACCATTTACTTTAGAATAAAATTTCGGTACTAAATACCTAAGACCCAACTACATTTAATACTGCCAAAAACTCTCTTCGGGCATCCAGCGTATATCTCAAATACTCTGCAAATCAATGGACTCGGCTGACTTCCATTTTGGCTCGCTCGCCCTGTCAACTATTTATCAGAGCTGTCTGGCGATTGCCTTTCGTGGACTGGGAGTTGAGGTCTGTTGGGGCCGGACACGCAAATTCTGTGCTTGGCTAACGGCTCTTGGCCATGTTAACAAGTTGCGTTGACAAATGTTCCCGGAAACAGTTCGTGCGAATTTGCATGACAAAAAGGGAAAATGGAGCTCAGCTGGGAATAGCTTTGAATTGCATTTGACTAATGCATTGTCTCAGCTCCGACTTCAAGCAGAACTAAAAGGCGAAGCAGAAGCAGAAGCAGAAGCGGAGATTTCGACAGAGTTTGGGTCGCTGGCCAAGTTTGTGCTCCAAGTCTTTTGATTTATGTGTGGCCAAATTGAAGTCTATATTAATCGCAGCTGTCAGGTTGACAATTTTATTATAATGCCAGCGCGAACGCGAATGCGAGCGTGAGCAACTCACGAACTGGCCAACAATTTGGCTTAATGACCCAGTACAAAGCGACAGCCAAACATATTTATGGCCAAGAGACTTTGGCCAATGAACTTGACGCTCGGGTACTTAATGTGGCTCAGACTTAGCCTAGCTCAACTCAACTCGACTCAACTCGCCGTGAAAGGTGTATGTGTGTGTATGTGTGTGTGTGTGTGAGTGTGCGGGTCCAGCACATTGTATCGAGTACCTTTCC